CACAATGAGAAAAAGAAACAATTTTGTTCTCCAATAGTATTTAAACAAATCAGTTTTCTATTCCACTGAGATTTGTCATTTTTTCTATGTGTATATGTTGTATTTTGAGCTGATTTTTTTACATGTCATAGGTGGTGTTTGGATACAGGGACTGATCCTGTCATATCAGATGTTTGAATACTAATTTAAAAGATTAAATATAAACTAATAATAAAACTAATTGCATAAATAAGAGCTAATTCGTGAGATAATTTTTTTAAGCCTAATTAATTCATAATTAGCACATGTTTACTGTGGTATCACATGGACTAATCATGGATAAATTATGCTCAATATATTCGTCTCGCGAATTAGTTCAGGTTATGGATTGTGTTTTTTCATTAATCTACATTTTCTACTTCTAATGAATCAAACATCCGACGGTAACTAAAATTTAGTCCTCCCATCAAACAGCCTTGCGCTTGCACCTCTCAAAATTTTTCTATTCTTTTTTTTTTTGACTTTTTCGGTGTATTTTTCGATAAGGGGACTCATCTCTCAAGTGCACTGCTTCTCTTCGTCTCTTCCCCCATCTCCGGCGAGCCGTACTGGTCCAACTCCGGCGGCCAACGACCCCTCAACTACCAGCTGCCCCAAAACTGGATCCGTCACTGAGTTAGTTACCAAGGTATATCTCCCCCTCATTCATATCGGCGGCCGGCGACGGCGAGGGTGAGAAACTGAATCTGTACACCCTGTTCTTGCCCAGCGGCGGCGGTGAAGAGAAGGGGCAGATGGACGGAGCAGCAGTGAGCGTCGCCACTGGGGTGATGGGATCCCTCCTTGCCAAGCTCTCTGCATTGCTGGGAGAAGAACGCGGGCTTCTGAAAGGTGTCAAGGGTGACATCAGGTTCTTGAGAGATGAGCTGAGCACCATGAACGTCTTTCTGATGAATATGGCCAGTGTGGAGGAGAACATGGATGTGCAGGTGAAGGACTGGAGGAACAAGGTCCGGGAACTGAGCTATGATATCGAGGATTGCATCGATTTATTCATGCACAAATTGAATCGCGGGGATGATAAGGTCAACATTGTTCTCAAGATGGCAAAGAAGATTAGAATGTTATGGTCAAGGCATCAGATTGCTAACCAGATCCAAGAACTTAAGGCTCGTGTCAAGGAAGAGAGTGATCGCCGTTTGAGGTACTACTTCAGCGAGTGCAATGCACATGTCGACGGGACTAAAATTGATCCCCGCCTACCGGCGCTTTATGTTGAAGAAGAGAAGCTTGTTGGTATCCATGGCCCTATGGAAGAGATCATTGAATTGTTGATGAAAGAGGATGGTTCGGGGCAAAAACTCAAAGTGGTATCCATTGTGGGTTTTGGCGGACTCGGCAAAACTACTCTGGCTAACCAAGTATACAACAAAATCAAGGATCAATTTGATTGCTCAGCTTTTATATCTGTTTCGCAGAGTCCTAACATAAAGAAAATTTTATTTGATATGCTTAAAGATGTGACCAGCCGAGACAACTCTGATGATGATAAGCAAATTAAAGTTGTTGGGGTCAAAGGAGATAAATCCGATGATGAGAGGCAACTCATTGGTAAGCTCAGAGTATTCCTAGAGAATAAGAGGTACAAACAAATATCATTAGCTATCTCTTTGATTCATTGCACGTTAATCTTTAGATCCTAGAAATTAGTAAATGTGACCCTATCATTTGGTAATGTTGTCCTTTTATCTATGGCATAATTTTTGACATGCTAGTTTAAGACCTTGCAGTTATAAGTATTACCTGAATTTCCTGTGCAACAGCAAATTCTTTTTTGGTGCAACAGCAGATTTATATAGTCCTACATATGTTTGTTATAAATAGAGCCTATTTGGTTGTACAAATGCAATAACTGTTTATGGTGATTCTGCTGTAGTAAATACGCGGGAAAATTTAACATACATCCGTAACAGATCGATTATACATCTTCATTTGCAGTGTTCTTTAAGTCAGAGCCAACAGAACAAGTTTTGTAACTTATAGATATTTCCCTTTTTTTTCCTCCAATTACTGAGGGAGCCAATATATATTAGCATGATTTTGTATTAAAATTTCTATAGATGCAACTCAGAATTAATTTATAGGATGCCAGTAATGGGAGGGTCAGTTGTGGATTAGAAGTGCTGTGGCCGTGCAGCTTGAACAGTTGTCTTGTCTTGGTGTCACAGCATCCTCTGCTATTGGTTGTAATTAGCTTCATTGCAAATAAGCATTCCTTTTTGATGAGCATTATGGGCTTCGTCTGGTTTGAGGATGTAAATGACCTTTTGTTCTGATCTGACTAACAGAAAGGATAGAAAGAAATAGTAGGGTATGGACCAGAGTGTTATTTCACAACTTCTTTTGATTCTAAATGGCATTCTCCTAACTGTACTGTTTTAACAGCCCCAACAGCAGTGTACACCATCATTTCTAATACTAAGAATGCCAGTTTTACTCGAAATTTACAAAGAAAAATGGAGATCCATGCATAATAACCAAAAAACTGTGATAGCATCTGCAGTTTGGATGTAATGTAAAAGGAAAATACATGCAACATTGCAATTGAATGTAATGAAAAAGGAAAATACATGAAACATTGAAAATGTTTGCTGGCAGAGAAATCTGAATGTAGTGTACTAGTGTTTCATGAGTGTGAGAGGCACCAAGTGTTAGATATAGATGGCTGCCCTGCACATATTATATTTTCTTTTTAAAGTTCGAGGTGAAGAATACTTGATTAAAATTGAGCGATAAAATGTGGTAATATTGTATTTATAACACTATATATGTGTATTAAATTTGTCTTCCAGAAGCGTTCCGGATAATTAAAAGTGGCATAAATATCTAATATATACTTTTAGAGTGGCATAATATCTTCTGCAGTACTTCTCATGAGATGTATACTGCATTTTTAAGTTAAGGCAGACTAATAATCTCCTACATGTACATAGGTACTTCATCATTGTTGATGATATCTGGAGTGCATCTGCATGGGAACATGTGAGGTTAGCTTTGCCTGAGAACAGTCTTTGTAGTAGAATAATTACAACCACACGGAATGTCAATGTGGCAAAATCATGCTGCTCTGGTTTTCAAGGTTCTGTTTACAACATTCAACCTCTAAATGAGCAAGACTCTAAGAAGCTATTTCTGAAAAGGCTTTTCCACTCAGACTCCAATTTTCCTACTCACTTGGAAGAAGTTTCACATGCAATCATTAAAAAGTGCCATGGCTTTCCATTAGCTATTATCTGTTTAGCTAGTCTGCTAGCTAGTAAATCTGATACAAAAGACCAATGGGAGCAAGTGCACAATTCTCTCAGTTCTGCGTTTAGTTCACAAGGGATGAGCGATATACTGCTGCTTAGCTATTATGATCTACCCTATCATCTGAAGACATGCTTGTTGTATCTTAGTGTATTTCCAGAGGATTATAAGATTGATAGAGATGAACTGATATGGAGATGGATAGCTGAAGGTTTCATCACTGAAGTGAAGGGTCAAACATTGGACCAAGTTGGAGGGAGTTACTTTAATGAGCTTATCAACAGAAACATGATTCAACCAATTGACATCAAATATGATGGTACCGCAAATGCTTGTCGAGTACATGATATGGTGCTTAACCTTATCATATCCATTTCATCTGAGGAAAATTTTCTCACCGTAGTTGACGAGCAAGGGTATAAATATTTGGGTAATAAGATTCGACGGCTCTCATTCCAGTCCAACTCTGTTGAGAATGATGTGAATGTAGTTCAAAAGATCATGGACAACTTGTCACAGGTTCGTTCGCTAAGCTTCTTTGAGGTACCAGAGAAAATACCTCCTTTCTTAAAATTCCATTCATTGAGTGTATTGGTTTTAGTGGATTATGATTTTTGTCTTGGTAATGGACACATTAAATACCTTGGAAGTTTTTTCCAATTGAAGTATTTGAGAGTCACTTCTTATGGCATTACCCAGCTCCCAGATCAATTCGGGAACCTCCATTATCTACAAACTCTGGATATACGTGGCAGTGGAATCGAAAAGTTTCCGCCAACCGTGGTCCGTTTGCATAACTTGGCTCGTCTACTTGTTGGCAATAAAGTGCAATTGCCTGATGGTATTGGAGATCTGCAATCCTTACAGGTGCTGTCTTCTGCTCGGTTGTATAAACCCCTAAAACTTGTGGAAGATCTCAGGAGATTGACCAAACTAAGGACGCTTGAGATAGTTCTTCATGGCAGTGATACACTTGGTGCTCATGAGATGGGAAGGTATGAGGAAGCTTTGGAGTCTTCTCTTACTGTGTTGGGCAAACACAAAATTCAGTCACTCGAAATTTCATGTTGTGATTACTTGAGAGATAAATTACTGGATTTGTTGTGCTGCACTGTTCCAAACATTCAGAAGCTTGTAATATCTGGCAATTGCATAAATAGGCCTTCTCAGCAGATGCTATCTCTTGTTAATCTCGCTCACCTAGACATCTATTTCCAGAGGATTAAGCAGGAAGATCTCAGTGTCCTTGGAAGCATATCTACTCTGCTCTACCTCCGGTTGAAACTGCATTTTGTGCCTGACGAAAGGCTCTGTATCAGCAGCCAACAATTCCAGAGCCTGATGGAGTTCAGATTCATATATTATGAGGGGGGTGGCTTGAGGATGTTATTTCAACAGGAAGCAATGGCAAAGCTTCGACGGTTACAGATTCGGTTTAGAGCAGAGGAAATGGAGTCTAATGCAGGTTTCGAGTTCAGTTTTCATCACCTCTCAAGCCTGGAGGACCTTCATGCCACGATTAGTTGTTATAGAGCCACTAGAAGTAGCGTGGAGGCTGCAGAAGCTGCCATCAGGAATGCAGCTAGTATCCATCCTGGACATCTAAAAGTTTCAATCATAAGAGAGTGGGAAAGCCGCATGGCGGGGCTCAGAGAGAGATGAATCTTGAGTATAGAAATGATGTAAGGAGGATGTTCAGAAAGAGGACCAAATGGCAGTTTCTTCAGATTTTAGAAGTCCTTTCAGGTCCGTATTATCCCCCAGAACCGACAATACGTTGTTTTAGGGCCTATTTCATTTTGATTTTGATCCACCCTACGATCTTTTTGGGAGATTAGTTCCACAAATGGTAGATCTGTACTGACATTTTTTTTTCTGTATGGAATTAACTTCCAATAAACTGCAGGACCAGCAGATTGGCCAACCACGTAATCTGATATATAGAGGATTAGAATCAGAGATCCATATCAGTGTCTGTCACAAGAATTAAGAAGCTATGCAAGGTATTGTTTTCCCTCTAGAGACAGGAATGGAATTCTTTTTAATGAATGAGTAGAGTCAAGGCGCGTGAGTTGCTAGTTCGATTGATTGAGCTTGCTACCTGGCTATTTGTATCTCCCTAAATATTTTTCCTCAAAATTACTTTTGGCACCCAATAAGGTGGAAAGCAGTTGTTACTTTCTCAGTTCCAGGCTATATCCAGATTCTGGTAACTGTTTTTCTTTTTATTGAGTGAAATGGCGGGAAGGTCCCTGCTGGAAGCTTTTATTAAGAATATTATATACAAACATAATTCCATATGCTGGCAGTTGTTCCAATGAACTGCATTTATTTATATATATCAGATGCCTTTCTCATCTTGTGATAAATTGCACCAGTACATAAATAGAACTTGAGATGTAGTTCATTTACTTCACAACCATGGTTATAGCCTACTCGCGCCCTCCGTACTTTTTTTATCGATCTTACAAGTCACAGCCCAAAAATTCTTTAACTCAGGTAGACATGCCTCATTTATGCATTCTCCTTTTTCTTTTTTAATCATTTGTTGCATAAGTATGAAACTAGCTAGCCTAATTTAAAACCATACGATTCTGAATTGTGCACAATATGAGAGTCTGCAACAAATGCAAACAATGGAATATAGGAATCATTTTCAAGTTATTAGATTGTCTATAATTACTTAATATGATTATTTTATGAAATTTTAGGTTTCATCTAGAACCTGTAAAAGTCCCAAAAATGCTAAAATTAACAATGGATTACTGTTCTCAAACAAAAAGCGATCGATATGCGAAACCTTAAAAAATGGAATCTGTACTCAAAAGTGTCCACGCATAAAATATTTTTAAATTTTCAGAAATATAAGCTATCCCTACTAGGCTGGTCATACTTGAGTCCACTTAAAACATCAAAATTTGAAGCTTGGAAAGCAGAATATGCCCTGCCCCATTCTTCACCCTATTCTCCACCACTGGAACTTACCTGAGTGCCAAAATCCCTGCTTTGCCCACCTGTTCCCTGGCCACCACAACCCAGCTAGCCACTTACCACAGCACCACATTATGTGACATGGTCCAGAATGTACTTCACGGCAAAAGTGTTATATATGACAAATATGCGGCGCCTGAGGTGAATATGTGCGCGCATGATATTGTGCATAAGTCGTTATAGAATGATTTACAAAACCGTCTCTGATAACCATGTCATAGAAGGAACCGTCTATACTGAGGTTTGTCAACAAAACCATCTGTGATCGTCTACTTTTACATATACTCCATCTATCCTGCATATATTAATCTTGCACCAGTCTACTGATGGTGGCTTTCACTTCTCAACCACCTTCTCTTTCGTAGTTTTAATCCTTGGTATCTTAAAAGTTTGTAGCAACTTGATACTTGGATGGGGAACAAGAAAAATCTTGGTGAATACCCATTGTGTTGTTGTTTTAAGCATTCTATATGGATAATAGTCTCTTCTTACTGACTATGCTTAACTATCTAGACTCTAAAGTATTTCATGACTGATGGAATTGACAGACTGACTCCTAAAAGGTAAGAATTTCAAAAACTGTAAGTCTACTGAAACTGGTGTTAATCTGGCATGACTTACAACAAAATGGAAAAAGAAATTCCCTTCCTGATGGAACAAAAATAATCTATGTTAAAAAATTAAAAAAATTCAAGTAAACCCCTTCTAGAAAAGTAGTAAATGACATGTATAATGTTTTTCCTCTGAGATTGGAGCTTTAATAGTGGTGAAACTGCTGATTGTAGTTAAGTGGGATCAGGTATTCTTGGCACCTAAGTACAGCTGGAGTATGTTGAAATTATATTATATATCATGATCAAGGATACAGACTACATATAGTTTTTTTACCCAAGGATATAATTGAAACCCATAATAAGAAAGTTTTACCTGGGGGGGGGGGGAGGTAGGGAGACCCAATTATACATCAGAGTTTGAACAGAAACGAAATAACAGAACACATACAGGCATGAATCATTACAATAACAGAGCTACTCCAGGAAGAGATTTGTGAGTAACCATTAACTGATTGAAAATCATTAATTAATTAATTAAGAACACCATGAACACCAGCACCATGATTCTAATCCACACCTTGTAACTTGAAGATAATGGAAGTAAAACCAATATATAGTTTAGTATATACTATGCAATGTAGATAACATATCACATGTATCCTTGTGACTTCTTTTTGGCAGAAGTGAACTATGCACATTTCAAAGCAGAGACAACCCATGTTACAGTTATTTAAGGACAGCATAGTCTAACAAGATGCTATGTTTAAATAAAGCTATGGTGTGATGCATGCGGTCAACCTACTACTATTATATGTCAGGTGTGTACTTTGAGGCAAATAGTCAATTGTGGGCTGTTAAATTACTGTCGCGAGGAAGGGGTTGTGCAACACGATCCAACTTATTGTAGAACCAACACCGTTCTATCATCCACAGCCACTGCATCATTTCATTTCTGCGCTCCTCATCTACTATTGAGCCACTCAATTAGAGTTAGTCAGAGAGGGCAACATGGCTGGAGCTATAGTGAGTGTTTCAACTGGTGCCCTGAGCACCCTGCTTCCTAAGCTCTCCCTGTTGATCCAAGGGGAGTACAAGCTTCTCAAAGGCGTGAAGGGTGGGATCTCCTTTCTGAAGGATGAGCTGACCAGCATGCATACCCTTCTAGTGAAGCTGGCAAACAACGAGGAGAACTTGGATGAGCAGGTGAAGGATTGGAGGAACAAGGTGCGTGAGCTGAGCTATGATATTGAAGACTGCATCGACCTTTTCCTGCACAAGGTGAGCAGTTCTAATGCTAAAGCGGGCCTTGTCCGGAAGACGGCAGCTAAAATTAGAAAGTTATGGTCGCGCCACAAAATCGCAAACCTAATTGAAGAACTTAAGGCTCGTGTTATAGAAGAAAGTGATCGCCGTTTGAGATATAATTTTGAAGAAGTTGCTGATAATTTTAGCCATGTTCAAATTGATCCTCGACTGCCAGCACTCTATGTGGAAGCAGAGAAGCTTGTTAGGATTGATGGTCCTAGAGAGAAGATTATCGAGTGGCTGGAAAAAGATGAATCTCAGAAACTCAAAGTAGTATGCATTGTGGGCTTTGGAGGTCTTGGAAAGACAACTCTTGCAAACCAAGTTTATCACAAAATGAAAGGTCAATTTGATTGTTCTTCTTGCATGCCAGTTTCACGGAATCCTAATATGACAAAGATACTAGTTGATTTGCTCAAAGAATTGGGAAGTCGTGTTGATACATCAGATGATGAGCGTCAGCTCATATGCAAGCTCAGAACATTCCTACAACGTAAGAGGTATGTAGAAAAACTGCAAATGGTGTTTTTCCATATATTTTGACCCTGCTTGCGTATATTTCCCATGTTAAAATAGCTATCAGTGTAAAGCTCTTGTAGAGTCTGACCTTCAATTTTTGCTAGATTGCAATATCTTTGCAAGAAAAAAAAAAGAAAAACTTGATGGGCACTCCGCTCATTGGTGCTTGCTTAACATTTGCATGATGAAATGTAAAATGAAAGGGGCAATCTGCACAGAAAAGGTAGAACCTTTAAGCAAAGGCTAAAAATAGTGATAGTGTGGCTTATTCATTGGTCATAAAAATAAACCATCCATAGTTTCAGTGATTATGTTAAGGATTAGATATATAAGCAATGCAATACTGGAACGAATAACATGGCATTGAACTTAAGGTCTTGTATTTACATCTATGCCAAATATTACAAAAGTAGTTTGTTAAAGTTGAGAAGTGATTTGGCACAATTTATATAAAGTGCCGAGTTCATCGTAAAAATAATACTCCTTCCGTTTCATATTATAAGTCTTTTGATTTTCTTAGTCAAACTTCTTGAAAGTTTGACCAAGTGTATCGAAAAATATAGCAACACTTGTAGCACTAAATCAGTTGAAAATATTGCTATATTTTTCCATAAACTTGGTCAAACATTCAAAAAGTTTGACTTGAAAAATTAAGACGACTTGTAATATGAAATAGAGGTAGTAATAGCAAGTCTGGTGTGTGGGCATCTCAGGCAGGGAATACATGCTGTAGCTGCAACAAATGACAAACTCCACCTTAATTAAATATTGGTTTCCTTTCACCTAAATGGCCAATCTATTAAACTTTTACAATCTAGTTCTCAAAAGGAATTGATGGTTTTTGGAGCAGGGCAGCATGGCATTTGCCAAAAATGACTGCACAATATATAGCTTGTTCATTTTAAACTCTATGATTTATTAACCAGATCACATTTTCTCAATGCTAACCAGGTACTTGGTCATTGTTGATGATATTTGGAGCGCAAAAGCATGGGAAGTTGTCAAATGTGCTCTCCCAGAGAACAATTTATGCAGTAGAGTAATTTCAACGACAAGAAATGCAGATGTTGCAACATCATGCTGCTCCTGTTTAGCAGGATATATCCATAACATGCAGCCCTTAACTGAGCAGGACTCTCAGAAGCTATTTTTTAAGAGGATTTTTGGGGACAAGTCAGCATGCCCTCCTTACCTTGAACAAGTCTCCCATGGAATCATTAGCAAGTGCCATGGGTTGCCATTAGCTATTATCAGTATAGCTAGCCTGCTAGCTGGAAAATCACATATGAAGGAGCAATGGGAGCAAGTGCACAATTCTATTGGTTTTGTGTTTAGTCAACAAGGAATTAGAGATATACTGCTGCTTAGCTACTATGATCTTCCGATAAATCTGAAAACTTGCTTGCTATATCTTAGTGTGTTTCCAGAGGATTACAAGATTGATAGAGAAGAGCTAATATGGAGATGGATAGCTGAAGGGTTCATCAGTGAAGTGAAGGGTCAAACACTGGATCAAATTGCTGATAATTACTTCAATGATCTTGTAAACAGAAGCATGATCCAACCATTTGACATCAAGTACGATGGCAGGGCAGATGCTTGTAAACTGCATGATATGGTGCTCGACCTTATAATTTCCCTGTCAACACAGGAGAATTTCACAACCATAATGGAAGGGCAACAATATAAATGTTCTTCTAATAAGATTCGTAGGCTGTCAGTACATTCAAAATATCTGGAAGATGAAGTAATGCAGGAGATTATGATGAATTGCTCGCAAGTTCGTTCCATCAGCTTCTACGAATTGCAAGATCAGGAAATTAGTCTTCTCTCAACTCTTAATTCTTTGAGAGTGCTAGCTTTTAATAATTCCCACCATCTTGGTAACAAAAGCATTAAATATCTTGGAAGGTTTTTCCAGCTGACATATTTGAGCATCGCTTCTCGTGGTATCACTGATCTTCCAGAGCAAATAGGAGGTCTGCAGAATCTACTGACACTAGACATTCGTGGCAGTAGTGTTGAAAAATTGCCATCAACAATAGGTTGTTTGAAAAATCTGGTGCGTCTACTTGTAAATGAAGCTGTGAAATTGCCCAATGAGGTTGGAGATCTACAAGCCTTGCAGCAGCTGTCATTTGCTGGTAACTATAATTCCATAGTATTTGTGGAACAGCTGAAGCGGTTGGCAAACCTAAGGGCGATTTCCATACGACTGCATGATAGCGCACGACTTGGTCATCATGATATGGCAAGGTATATGGAAGCTTTGAAGTCATCTCTTGCTGTGATGGATAAACAAGGGATCCAATCATTGGAAATATCCTGCTTTGATAGTGTGATAGGAGAAAAACTCATGGATTTATTATGCTACTCACCATGCCTCCAAAGGCTTGTCATACATGGTTGTTGTATCGGTCTGCTATCAAAGCAGATGACGTTGCTTGTTAACCTCAGGCATCTTGAAATATGGGTTAGAAACATTAAGCAGGACGATCTCTGCGTTCTAGGAAGCATACCCACTCTGCTCTTCTTCAGGTTATTTGTAGTATGTGGACCTGATGAAAGGCTTGCCATCAGCAGCCATCAATTCCGATGCCTCAAGCAGTTCATCTTCGTAAGTTACGGAGGTGGGCTGGAGATGTTGTTTATGCAGGGAGCAATGCCTGAGCTCCGATGGTTCTCTTGAATTCCGCGCACATGAATCAGACTGCAAGATGGGTTTTGAGTTCAGCTTAAAGCACCTTGCAAGCCTGGAGCACCTCAAAGTCACAATTTTTTGCCATGTTGCCACCAGAAGCCGGGTGGAGGCTGCAGAAGCTTCGGTCAGGAATGCAGCCAGTGCCCACCCAGGGTGTCCCATATTTGAAATCAATAGATGTGGGGAACAAAACATGGTAGATGATAAGGTCGACAAGGAGGAGATACTCAAGGATATAGATGCTCATGAAGTGGTTCGGCGTGACATGAATAACTGAAATTGCAGTTTGCAACACCCTATGTGAGATTCTACTTTTACTGCTGCTTATAATTGCCTGAGACAGAGGCTAAACTGCTAGCCACATGATCACTATTGATGCATGGAAACTAAGTTATCAGACCTTCCAATTCAGAACCATCATCATTTGGTTTTGTCTAATTACTACTGGTAATACTGGCAAGTAGACCTTCTAGCTTGATTTGTAAACACATTGAGCTTTAATATTTCAAATGCGGGTAGCCGGACTGCCAATGAGCATCTCTTGCTTCAGTTGTACTTTACTCTATGTACGCCGAAAGTCTGCAAGCTTTGAGTAATCTCTTCTGCAATTACTTCTCCGAAAGGACCAAGATAAGAAAACAATATGTACTACCTCCGTTTCTAAATGTTTGACGCTGTTGACTTTTTTAAACATGTTTGACCATTCGTCTTATTCAAAAAAAATATAAGTAATTATTAATTCTTTTCCTATCATTTGATTTATTATTAAATATACTTTTATATATGTTGTCGAATGGACAACTGCGTCACGTCGAAAGACGTGGTTTTCTCAACAGTGGATGGGAAATAAAAAAACAATTGTATTACTTTGTTCAAATTTTTTGGGATCCCCCTATTACATGGCCATAAAGAGCTATTTATAGCCCCATTACAGGTTTCTACTACTAGGGTTTAGATTATATAGGGGAATTTTCATGGTTACCCTTATGATAGGGACATTATGGAGGGCACACTGTGTCCTTTACACATACGGGCCCCTACTGGGCCTAAATGGCTCGGCCCATCTATCTGGCGAAATCCCCCGAGGGCGTAGCGGCCCACCAGGCCTCTCGACAATGAGGTTCGGTACTTCGGCGAAACCCGTGCCTGTGTGCCGAGGCTTTCACCGCATCATCTTCGCCCATGCCGCCTTCTGGCAAGGACTCCACTCGGCGAAGCTGGTGTAACCCAAGCCACTGCTTTCGCCCGTATGGCTTTACTCTCAACCTTCGCCGCCCGCCTCCGGAGCGAGCCTGTTGCTTGAATTTTTGGTTTCAGCAGGTTCGGCCGAAGGCCCTCCGTGGTAAGCCTCCAACAAGCCCCTAACGGGCAAGGGTGAGTAGGGAGCTTCGGCCGAGACCGTGCAAATCGAATGGTATACCACGAGGTGCCCCCTTTCGGCCGATGTTCCTGCCGAAATCCATGATGTACCCCTGCGAAATAAATAACTTGTTTCCATGTTTACAAAAAATTCTTGAGAAAATTCCTTTCTCGCATTTGTTACAAAGTATCGAAAGGGTTGACTTGTCTTTGTCATTACTATGAATAGTAATGGGCCCTGTGGGCCTCTCCTTTATTGCAATCGGCCTTTCGCTGTTCGGCTCAGGCCCGATGGGAATTTACCGTTTCGTCTGCCCTTGGGCACGTGTCAGGATTTGATTGGCTGGTAGGCGAACGGTCTCGCGATGGGGTTATATAGCCCTGGGCCGACTTGCTATTTTCTCTTCCCCCCCCCCCCCGCTCTTCACTTTTTTACCACTTGACGCGCTCCACGCTCTCTTCATTTGTCTGCCCCTTAGCTTCTTCGCCACCGTTGTGCTTCCGCCTTTCGGCTACTTTCCCCTTTTTTCTTGGCCGCGAGCCTGATGGCTCCTCGCAAGCCCACTAAAGCCGGGTCAACTGGCGAAGACCCTAGCGGCCTTGGCGAAGGGTGGTCGTGTTTCCTTGGCAAATCGCTCGTCAAGGAGGCCGACTTAGCCGAGTTGGTATCCTCCGATGCTCTTGTGGAGGGCCAAGGATCATGTGGGGGCGAAGCCGTTGTCCCTTCGCCCTGTAATGGGCGAACGGTTGTCTTCGCTGCCTACTTCGCCGCCGGGCTTCATCTCCCGTGTGACGATTTCTTGTCGTCTGTGCTCGCGACATACGAGGTTAGGCTTCCCCAGCTTAGTCCATCAGCGTTCCTGAAGCTCGCGGTTTTCGCTTGGATGTGTCGAACCTGTGGGTCCGCTCCTACCGCCGAGCTATTCGCCGTTCTATTTATGGCATGCGCCACGACCAAGGACGTGCAGACGCCGACCGGGCCGAGGAAAACTGTCTTCGGCTGCGTGAACTTCATGCTGCGTCTGGAGTGCTCAAATGCTTGGCCGGTGCCCGCGTCGATGGCCAAGTGGGATAGGAACTAGATGCAAAAATGGTTCTACATCGCCAACCCTTACCCCGCCGAGGATGCCAAGGCAAATTGGCTCCTTTTTCAGCGTTCCGCCGTCTCCATCATCGCGAAGCTAAACGTGGAGATCAATGGGACCCTCGAGAGTCGAGTCCCGGCTTATACTCCTCCTTAAGGTCACACGATGGCTAAGCACCCAAGACCTTTGTGAGGAGTTTTGCCTCCTTCGGATCTCCCTTCTCGCTCGTGTCTGGGATGTGTTCGTGAACGAGGGCGAAGAGGTTCTCGGGCTTCCCCGCCTTGTTCTCCCCACTGGGGTCGAAAGTGAGTTTTTGCTTTTGCTCCGAGCCGTATATTTCCTTTATGGAAATGCCCTTTAGGCTAAACAGTTGTTTTTGTTTTGCTTTTTCACAGCCCGAACCTTGGAGGACGCCGAAATAGAGGCGTCGAAGATGATAGGTGGTCTGACAACGGCCGAATTCGCTCGCTTGCTCCAGCGCCAGACCGACGACCGAGGTGAACCGAGTTCATGTTGGCGAATTGCCAAGTCAGTCGAACCCCTCCAGGGCCAGGGATGACGAAGTCGGCACTTCGAAGAAACGCAAGCGTGCAGTCGCGAAAGGTGGCCAGGTTCGAACTCGCCGCGGCGCGAAGGGTGCGGTTGAAAGTGACGGGGAGGAGGAGGAAGAAGAAGATGGGGAGGCTGGATCTGAGGATGATGGGTTCCATGGCTACACCCCTAGTTCGACTCCTGTGAAATCTGGGGCAGGTTCTCATATTTCACCTACGCGCCCGCAAGATATCGTTGTGGCGAACACCCTCCTGGCGATTTCTAGTACTGCGGCGAAACCGGGGATGACCGCCAGGAGGAAGAAAAAGAAAGGGAAGGTTGTGCAAGTCGCCCGCGGCTTTTCGAACAGCGAAGGGTCCGACGGGACGCCTACTTCGCCGATTCTGCAGCACGGACCTCCTCGTGGTAGGCGCATGTCCCCGCCACCTGCTAGCGATGCCGAAGCGGCGATGGGTGGGAGTGCCTCAGCACTAGCCGCTAAGGTGAATGTTTCTGGGGACGAACGGGTTGAGGCAATTCCTTCGCCAGCCCGTCAACGGGAGGGAAAAGCTCCGGCGGTCGAAGCGACCGTTTCGGACGTGACGCTCACTGCCCACACTTCGTCCCTGCTGATTTCGCCATGCGGCCGGAGATCCTCCGTTCGTGGACGGTGTGTGCCATGTTATTGCACCGACCGACGGCCTTGGGCTCTTCACCGAACTAAACGAGTTCGGCAAAAGCTGCGCGGCTGCGGAGAGCCTGTTTGTGCGGGTATGAGTTTTCTGTGTGCCGAACTTTGTCCTTTCGCTTGTGTCCTGCCGTAACGTTTTTGTTTCTCCTTGTCCAGGGCCTCGCCGCACACTTAAACGCGAAGAAATCTGCCTTACAGAGGCTAGACGGGTACCGCCTTCGCCTTCGAAAAACCAAAGAAGATCTTCGCCACAAGGAAGACGAAAGGCGCGTCGTGGCGGAGACTTTAAAGAAGGCGAATGCTGAAAACAAGGTTCTTTTGGGGGACAACAAGTCTCTCCATGCTGACCTTGATGTGGCGAACAAGCGGGATGCCGAACGAGACCGACAACTTGCTTCGGCCGAGGAGAAAATCAAATCCCTTGAAGCGCGTCTTGTCTCGGCCGAAGCTGCCGCCACGACCTTGGTTCCGGCCACAGTCCGCCAAGCAGGCCTGTTACACTCTCCGGCTGCCCCTTAATGACCTTGGGGCGCGGGCGGAAGGCGCTCTGGGCGAAGGCGGGACCGTATTCGACTTCTCCGAATGGACGCAGGAAGCAGCCGGCTTGGTCGTTGAAGTGGCGGGTGCCTACGGGGACTGCTGCGCTCGTGTTTCGGCGGGATTCGTCCTCAGCCTTTTGCACGCGCACGGCTGTGACCATATCGGGAATTTTCCCGACCTCGTGAAAGAAGAATGGCTCAGCAACACGCAGTGTTCTGGGGCGGCCTTTCGAAAAGGGTTCTGGGAGGATGGCGGTCGGGACTGTGCGAAAACTCGACTCCGCGAGAACCTTGAGAGGATCGCGAGAGATGAGGAAGCCGCTGCTGGCAACACCGAAGTTGACCCTGGGCCGTCGGAACAGGCCGCCGGGTACGAGGGCAAAAACAACGGAGGCCAAGACCACCCTGATGTGTGAGGCCCTTCGCCCTCTGTGCTTTTTTCTTTATTTTTCTTTAGTCCTTTCGGGCTTTTTGGTAGCCTAGCCTTGTATATAAGCTCTTTGCATGTTCGGCTTTGAGCCGTTTTCAACTTGTAACCAATATGAACTTTATTCTACCGATGAAATATTATCCTTTCGCTGATCTAATTGTTTCGTTTGAAAGTGGGATTGATCTCATCTATATTTCCCCTTTTTTGCACTTTTTTCTTTTGTGCTTTACTAGCAGGCTTGTGGCCGAAAGGTATGCGTTCGACCTCCTACTGAAAAATGGCGAAACAAGAACGAGAAGTTTGTGGCGATGAAAGGCCTGCCGAAGATTAAGTGTCCTTTTCGGCCTGTTTACCATGAGATGTTGATTAATGGCAATAGCTATAAGGTTGTAAACGTTGCTAAATTGATGCGCGTGCATCCAGGCCGAACCTTAGAGGACTACGATCGCTATCGTGTGTCACGTCGTGAAGATAGTTCGAGCTTTTGGTGAAACTTTAGGAGATGGTTCGCCAAGAGGCGATCGCTCGTCGCCGTTATAGTTTAGTTTGTGTTTGTCCTCCATCCCCTTTGAGGGTTGTATATGATATTAGTAGTGACGACGAACCCGATTCGCCAAACCATTCCTTAGGGGGTGAGGACTGTTGTGTGGGCGAAGGTGTAATTTATCTGTAAGCTCGTATCTTAGGGGGTGAGCACCGTTGCTTTCTTCGCTTGTATCATGTTGTCAGACTTGTATTCTTCGATTATTTTTTCGAAGCTAATAAAGATATGCTTTATTTCCTTTTCGCTATTTCTCGCATTGTCACTCTTCGTGCTTTTGTTAGGTCGGAACGTGTCGGCCCCTTTGCGTATCGTAGCGAAATAGGTCTGCTGACTTTTCAGCTTTTGGCTTCCGTTTTCGATCTGTAGTTTTCTGCGCTGGGAGGCGCGCTTGTGTTTTCATATTGATCGAGTGTAACGGTGTTCGGTTAGTTGTTTCCCGAAACAAGCTGTTGCGGTTTCAACGTTCGGCGTGCGATACTTCGGCCGATACGTTTTGCCCCCCCTGGCATTTTTGCTGATCAGGCGTTTGCCTTGGGGTTTTTCCACAAATTATCATTCACACAAAAAGG